GTGTGTAACCTTGGGGAAAAATGTACTCTGAAAGAAATGCTGCGTTCTCTGGCAAAGCACTTACAAGCCAGCTGAGTATTTCAGCACAGCAGGACTGTAATCATGCTTGACACCCAAGAGCTAGATTTGAAGTAGGGAAATCAGCCGTACTGGCTGCAGATTGCACATGCCGCACCTCCCGGAACATGGGAAATATGTAGGGAACGGAGCTTTCCCTTTGCAAAGGGGATAAACAGGGAATAAGAACAACTTTATCTACTGAAAACATAACCTGCTGCTCTGCCTGTGCTCTGAGATGCCTTGTATTATGAGAAGAGCTAGAACTGGAGCATTAAAAATAACGTCTTGCTTCTGGTTTGTATGGATCATTTATTGATTCCAACAAGCAGAGAGGAGATTCCTTCGGTGACTGTGAAGATTACGGTTTGTTTTTTTTCTTTTACGTTCTACTGATCAAAAGCAAAAATGATGCATGCGGGGAAGCGGATGCCTGTGAATTTCCGTCCTTTCCTCCGTGACTCTGCTCCCAGAATCTGTAATGGTTGCTAGCGCCAGTGCCCAGAAGCCTGCCTTTGTTACGCTTATCCAAAACCTGTCAGACTTCCCGAATCTGCTGCCTTTGGCTGAAAGTCATGCAAGCAGGCTTTCTGATGCGAGACTTCCCACAATTCTTGTTTCTAGTTAGGGATCTCTGACAAATCCCCAAACTACAAATGATTTATACAGTAACCTGGTAACATTGCTGGATTCATCTCCCTCCAGAGCTGATTCCGAAGGCAAGTTGGGTCCAGATACCCGGTAAGTTGACTGCTGCTGGGTAGTGTAAGTCTTCTGCACCTAACTTGACCCCCTTTTTAATCTTCAGGTACCATCAGGGAGACCCTTTTTTTCCTTTCCCAGCCTCTTTCATAGATAATAGCCAAGGAGTCTTGAAGGATGGGCAGGAGGGAGTCAGAGCACACAAGTCAGGACTCGGGGAGGCCTGTGGAAGGGAATTGCAGCCAGTGGGAGTAGGGAACAAAGAGGATTTAGTATCTGGAGAACTGCTGAAGTTTTCTACGGAGCGTAGGTGAGTACATTCAGGAAGGAAAATTCTCCAGGATTGGAGAGGGCAGCTGGAAGAAGCCTTAGTAGGCAAGAGGTAAGGATCCGGGATCCTGAGAGGTTAGTTCGGATGAATCCAGAAACAATAGGCCTCTCTGTGCAGGCTAAGGGGGCTGTTCCAAACATCGGAAGAACCCAGAGGAAGACGGGAAGGTGGCGCTAGATGGATACAATGGAAACATAGAAGAGGAAAGCTCGGGTTAAGCAAAAAGAGATTAAGAGATTGGCAGCTGTGAAAAACAGATGCATTTTTCCCATAACGTGCTGTACAGAAAATAAACAAGAGGAAGGAATTACTCAGATGTTGTTTCACAGTGTAGAGCTTTATTGGGTTTATGAGATGCCGTGTCCTGTATTTGTTCTCTGATATGGAGGCTGCTTGTCCAGATTTTTCTAGAATTCACTTGACATTGAATTGGCAACCAGGCTTCTTGCAGGCACAACCTGAAGGCTGATAAAGCAGCCTGAAATGTCAAAGCAATGTGACACTGTGATGCTGCATTGCAACATGATAATGTATGGTTATACCATGTGATAACCACATGTAGATCTGCCCGGCAAGAAAGTTAGCTAATGCTAAAGCCTCATAATATTCTAGAAAGGGCTAGAGAAAATACCTGGAAATGGGACTGCTTCCTTTTTAAAGTAACTCTCATGAATACCTGGGTATTTTTTTGGCTAAGTACAGACAGTCAGGTAACCTGAAGCTAAATCAATTCAATCTTTGCAGATTAGTCTAAGCTGCATAGATTGATCCAATAAGCAAGTGAATAGACATTCACTTTTGAAGCTGGAAATGCAGCCACGTGCCTGCAGTAGCCCAGGTCAGAAGCCAGGGGGCAGTAGAGCATGCCTTTCTGCTGGGCTGGAGCAGACAGCTTGGGCCACAGCTAGCCTGCTCACCCTGTGGGGGTAGTGGGAGGTGCAGGGGAGGTGCAAAGCATCCTGGGATGCTAGGGGACTATGAACTTGAATCTGGAGGGGATCTGGGACAGAAGCTCAATAAACTGATTTAACCTAAATCAGTTAAGTCTGATATGACATGCCTCCAGGTTTATCTTAAACAGTTTTGGCCATTCTGAAAATGCTTTACGTGCACTGAACTTCTGTTGTGTTACAGAATCGAACCAGTTTCTGATCACACCAGTTTGTGTGTCATTTCTGGCCCTAGCATTCAAGTCCATTACACGTGACAATACATTTTCTTATTGATGTGAGCATGTAACCCTTCTATCAGATGGCTAACAGGAGCGAAAAATTCAATTCATTCAGAGTCCTTCTTGACAAGTAACTAAACCAGATTGAACCTCTACCCAGACACGTGGAAAGCTAAATAGCTGATCCCCCACTGCCTTTAACTGGAAAGACTTTCCCTACTGCAAAACTAAGGACAAAGAAATCTTGACAAGGAGGAAGGGAACACAGAAGCTTGGGAAAGCACAGCAGCAAGATGTGCAAATAATATGAAGTCTCCTTCTCACTTCCTGGTAACTTTGTCCAGTTCTCCTCCCACGCCCCAGTGAGAATGTCCAACAAGGAATAGGGCCATGGCTACACCAGCTCCTACCAAACCCCAATAACACTTTGGACCAGCGACCAGTAGTATCTGTGCGAGTCTGCCTCCAGTTGCAAGGGAGCGACTTGACCAGTTCCACCTGGAGGTACCACCAACTTCACGAAGGAGCCAGTAAGGTAAGGCCTTACCAGCCAGCTCAGCTCTGCTGCTGACCTCTGCATTTTCCCTTGTTGCAAAGTCCCCAGTGTGCAGCACCTCTTGTCAGGAAGTCCCCTGCACAGTGTCTCGTTGTCCTCAAAGACTCTGACCACAGGCAAAGGCCTGTAATGTGCTACACCAATACCTCAGGGGGGCTAGAGAAGTGACTTGTCCACAAATCACAGATACCCTGGGCAGCTGCCAAAAGTTCTCTCATGTCATGTCCCCACCAGGCCTCAATGTTTCATAGTTTCATAGTTTCTAGGGTCGGAAGGGACCTGAGCAGATCATCTAGTCCGACCCCCTGCCATGGCAGGAAGAGCACTGGGGTCAAACGACCCCAGTAAGGTGGTCATCCAACCTCCTCTTAAAAACCCCCAGGGTGGGAGCCTGCACCACCTCACTTGGAAGCTGGTTCCAGACCCTAGCCACCCTGACCATGAAGTAGCGCCTCTTGATGTCCAACTTAAACCTTCCCTCCGCCAGCTTGTGACCATTGTTCCTGGTCACTCCTTGCGGCGCTCGGGGGAACAGGG